AAGAATCGTTCGGATGTGAGTGTACACAGTGTGTATGCTATGAGTATAAATTTTATATATAGTTTAGTTTTTTTATACACAGTATGAATAAATACTGTATACACTCATATCCGATCGTCATCTTAACTCTGCACAGAAAAATTTCTCCGGTTCTTTGAGGACATTTATCATCGTTTGGGCTTAAAGAAAGGGAGTCCAGTTATCCGACACAGAATTTGAGCATAGGGATGTAAAAAATTTCTACAGTTGAGAGCCACAGGAGTGTGGGATGGTCATCAAAATGATCAGGAGCCAAATAAATTCTGACATGTAAGTTGAAAATTTAAATAATGAAAACGAATGATATAGTTTAAATTGGCATTTTTCATTATTTCATATATTTGCTTTTAGTTTATTAATACATTTAACAAAATAGTAATAAAGTTATATGAAATAATAAAGTTATAATAATTATTATTCTGTCTTATCAAGATACTGCTATATACTTCATATCACCCCCTAGTGGATAGTGGAAAATTGGATAGCCATGTTTTGTACAAACGAGTGATGCATGAAGAGGAGAGGGTGATGAGGCTTTCATGAGAGGGAGACAAAAGAAGGAGAAATTATTTTCTGTGAAAGGGGTGTCAATATTTGACATGATTCAAAAATTCAACGTGAATCTGATCCGAAAAAATTTCAGATTAAGGTCAAATTGGGTCGGGTTGGGGTTAGAGATTGCAACACATTTGTAAAATCGGGTTGACCACCCGTAAATCCGAAATCAACCCGGTTTTATCTGTTTTTTAATTAATTTAGGAGGGGTTTAAAAGTTTGTTATGAAATAAGTAAATGCTATTTCTAAAAAATAATAAATCATGTTGCCCCAATTGAATTAAGCTTGGTTTATTTTAAATTGATTGAAGCTTGATTTCTTTTAAATTGGTTTATTTTAAATGAAAAAAATTAGTAAAACATACCTAGAGCGAGTCGGGTTCGGGCCCAAACCTGACCCGTGACCCGATTTTGACAGCTCTATTGTGTGGAGTCCAGACGTGAAGAATCGTCCGGACTGTAAGTATACACACTATGTATAAATTTTGATACGCACTATGTACAAATTGTTATACTCATATGTCCGAACAATTATTCCCGCCCGAATTCTGAACAATAATTTCTTAGCAAGAAGAACTAGTCGTCAAGTCGAGTTACTTCTAAGTATGAAGGAGGAAATAGAGTGGATGATGAGGAGAGTTTGATATCATGAAAGTTATTCACCAGAAGTGTGAGTTCCACATATAAGAGATGAGAGAGATACAACCTAAAAAGAAAGATTGAGCCAGAAATATTGATCCCAAACACACACACACACGCATACACACACACACACTATATATATATATATATATATATATATACTTAAACAATTTTGTTGGCATGACCCATCACTCATATAGGCATGTGGTCGGCAATGAAAAAAAGAAAGAAAGAAAAAGAACCATTGTATTCTCCACTCATCTCAAACTCTTAAGAGTAAAAGTTCAACAAGATAATAAATGCTTTATGTAAAGCAGATTTTACACGTTAATGTTGTCACCCACACATATTACAGTTTAATTTTCACGTATTTAGCTACGTCATTTTGTGTATTGAAGCTATTTTAAAATGTTCATTCACACGTGTTATATATATATATATATAATGAATTATTTATTAAGAATTTATTCAAGAATTATATTCATGTCATCAAAATTATATTTTACTGCATATCAAAATATTTACGAGAAAAAAGGGTAGGGAGGAACCCTCATCCCCTAAACTTCTCACATATCCTTTATATTAAAATATGTAATATAATATAATGCCATTACAATTATTAAAATTCACTTGAATGCATCTAAAAAAATTTACAAACAATTGCCTAAGGTTTTAAATTTTTATTTTGGTTTCCTTCCTATTGCAAGATTTCCTATTTCAACATTAAGGTCTTATTTGGGATGAATTTTTAATTTCTTCTTAACATTAACATAGCATTTTAATTAGTACAAAAAAATTAAAATTTATGTATTAAAAAACTGCTTTAAGAAGTTGTAAAAAAGTCATCCCAAAGAAGTCTAAGTTATACATGTATGTACAACATAAGTCATACATGCATATTCTAAGCTCATATTTAGGGTTAGTATGGGATGACTTTTTTATTTACTAAAACTCCATTTTAAGAAGCAATACAAAAGTTGTCCCAAATGAAGCCTTAATTTTAAAGTAAGCTTAACTGATCAAGTCAAACTTAGGATATGTATGTTGTCCGCCTAGAGAGCGTGGCCAACACTAGAGTTGTTAGGGCTTGTTAGGTCTTGGGGTTGGGTCAGGACAAATCCTAAGTAATAACTAAGCTTAGGTTTTATAAAATGATAGAGTTTAATATTTGAGGTTTGAGGATTACTTCTTAATTTAGTCCCTAGTCGAATGTCTTATGGTTTGAAGATTAAGTCCAAAATAGGGATTGTATATGTTTGATTATTTGATATAAGATATTATCATAATGCTATATTGACTAAACTTTAATGATAAAGGAGATTAACGAGGCAAGTCCAGTTGAGTTCTTTATGATGACGTTTATTTATAAGTCATAAGGGATGATTAAAGGTTTAAGATTTAATCCAAAGGGATTTAATTGCATGGTCTATGAATAAGACCTTTTGTTAATTTGGTTATCCTGGGTCATATGATTACTTAGGGTTAAACAATTAATATTAAATATGTAGTGTAATAAGTAGGGCTTTAAAGGACCAAGATACAACCTAATACATATGGAAACTAAGGAACCATAATGTTTATTAAACTATGCATGATTCAATCAAAATGGAATGTAAGATAAACTAATATAGTTTTGGATCGTACATGGTCAAAATCCATTAGTTGTGTGATGTGTTTTGTGATAGGTGAATCACATGACAATGATACTTAGGTAAGGGTTATGTGACTCCCCCCCCCAATTAAGACTATTGTTTCTTCAAGGATTGGTTGGAAAAGAATTCGATAGTCGGCTAGTTCATGCTCTCAAATCAAATTTGGTGCATCCTAAAAAGGAGTCGATAAATTTGATCAAATATTCCTTTAAAGCATTGACTAAAAAAAAATAAAAAAATAACATGCATGTATGCCTAATTTTTCCTCAAAATTTATAACCAAATGATTACTTAAACTAGGGGTAGACAGAACACCCATATGATTTTACATTCTAGTTAGTATTAGATAAGAGGCAAATTAAGAACAAAATATCCTTTTAATGCAAAGATAAACTATACATATCATTTATACGAAAGGTAAAGTGACAATTCAAAAAAGAAGATCTAAAAATTTCATAACATAAAAAGCCATTGATAATAGTGCTTATCATTGACCTACTCAATGTCATGTTATGTTCATCACCTTCAAGCTAGTTCAATTTCTAAATATGTGAAGTGGAGAAAAACTAGTCATTTTATTTGACCAATTTTGATTGTATTTATGAATCCTTAAGTTTGACTAATATTGACTTGTTGGTGGCTTTAGACTAGGCATATAAAAGTTGCTCATGATGTGTGCCATTATTTCTCTTGGTTGCCTATGTTCCAAGGGGTATCAATGGGACCCCTTCTTATATAATAAACCAAGTTAAAGACATCATTATTATGGCCATTCATAGTTAGAAATAGCTATAAATCAACATACTTTAATAATTATGAGTAAACATATTGTTGATGATGAGTATAATGTGCATCATCATAAGTGTAAAAAGTTTGTTTCTAGTGAACAAAACACAAAGAATATTCTAGCAAATGACTAAAAGAGTGCTATATTTATTGAATTTTGGGAGGTCATTATAAAATATTTATAAACATTATCCATGACATTCTTAATATTTTGTCACAACATATAATTATAATAAATAATGAACATTTTTATCATAAAAAATTGATAATATGACCTCTTGGTCAACCTCCCAATAGACATTTGTGATCCAACAATGGTCAAGTGGAGACTCCACGACCATGTTGTGTTGATATTGGTGATTGGCGGCAATCATTGTTAGTTATATTTTGGTTCACAAATATGAATATAAGACGTTATATGTAAGAATCATATGAACATTGCACGATTATTGACCAAATTTAAAATATGTAAATTGGCAAGAATATTTGTGAGATGATTCACTCTATTTTTGATGGACTTGATAAAAGCATACCGTAATGTCTACTTTTCAGAGATGAGCAGCTTGATAAAAGATATGTCGTAGGAGGTGCATCGTCTTATAGATTTTCAAAATTTTTGGAGCAAATCATAGAATAGCGAATATCGTTCACTTTTATCTTTTTCCTACGAGTCAATGACTATTAGAGCTTTTACTTTGAAATTACAAAAAAAAAAAAAAAAGTTGTCCTATCATTAGAAAATTGTATGAATAATAATTCAAATGAATAAGCCAAAATGAGCCATAATTCAAACCTTCAACATCATCTTGTCATGCATGTTTTGTTTTAATTTAAAGATCATATGTGATGTATTATATTTTACTTATGTTAAGAAAGATGGAGATAGACTTAGGCTTTGTTTGAGACGGTTTTTTTATGACTTCTTAAAATTTTTGTACTAAAATTTCGTTTTAAGAGTATTAAAATTCCGTCCCAAATGAAGTCCTAAAAAGACTTGATTAGAAAATACTAGAAATGACCTTTCTTTATTAAATTTAGATGATAATTTGATTCTTAACAGATCATAATGAGAAAAAATGATTCATGTAGCCGACCCCACATAATGTAATAAAGACTTGTTGTTGTTATTGTTGGTAAATATCATATGTATTCACTCATTCAATTTCGATGATTGGGCTGAGCCTTGATTCAATGGTAAAGATGTAAATCATCTCCCATTTGGTCTGCACTCCAATTGTTTAACCGAAAAAAAAAATCTATATTTGGGTAAAATTAGAAAGAAAAAAAGAACAAATAAATAAAATATATTATTATTTTTAAATTGTTATAGAGGAACTAAGGAACCAGAAACCTCTTAGCATAACCTAATGGCGGCGATGAGGAGCGTTCTGCTGAAGCACTTGAGGGTGAAAGCAGGATATCCTCTTCGATCGCCGGTGACGTTCTCTTTCTCCCAACTCATCTGCCGCCACTTCTCGGAGGAAGTCAAGGGCTCGTTCCTGGACAAATCTGAGGTCACCGATCGGGTCATCACCGTGGTAAAAAACTTCCAGAAGGTTGACCCCTCTAAGGTAACCCGTCACTTCCCCTTCCTCCTCATCGTTTTTCTTTTACCCGAACCGAATTGAAATGGAGCATTTGGTGCAATTGCTGGTCTTGAAGCGGGTTGTTTCATATTTCAAGTAATCTTGCATGCTGTTTTCTGTTCTATTATTTTTTTAGTGTTTGGCAACTTGCATTCGATAATTAGTCGTGTTGGCTGGAAGTCCTCTTTTTAAGTTCATGTTTGGAGCTTTTTTACCAGAAGAACTTTCTTTAGCTTGAAGTTTATTGAAACAATTTGATGTGATATGATTTTAGTTATCTGTTGCGGATGAGCAGCACGGTTATAATGCGTTAAATAAGTTAGAAGGCAATTCGTGAAAGTTGTAATTTCTTCTGCAAATAGATTTTTTCCTGTTCATTGCTTTAAATGAGCAGTTAGGGATTCTTAAACTTTTCCAAGAATTTTTTCTTTAGAATGATGCTGCCTCCTTGAAATCGGAACCACGCACCAACCTCATTTAATATGAGAAGCCATTGGGAAATTTTGAGGAAGTTGATGCAACTATGGAATTATTTTATACACAGCCTCATGGATGCAGATGAATATCATATTTCCTTTCACAACTTTAAGCTTAAAATTGAATCCTTTTGTTTTGGGTGCTAAGATTATCCAATTAATTTCCCGTTTTCTTTTATCTAGTTATGTGAATGGGAAAAGAAAAGGACTCTTTTGCTTAGTCTATGATTAAGTAGATTCTGTAACATAATAGTAAGGATGACCAGGCTACAATTAAGCTTGTTGTGAAGCAAAATTTCTTGTAGAATTTTGTTCTATTTCTGACACACTGTCATTATCAGCCTTACCCCAACTATTTTGGGTTGCTTTTATGAATAATCATCTTCTAGTAGTTCTTGCTAAATGTTGCTCGAGCTGTTAAACTTTTTTCTAAACCATTTGAAAAACCTCTACCCATGTTACCTAAGGCATACCCATTACCTTTTTCATCTATCGACTTTAATTTTATGTACTCATTTAATAAGTCTAACTACAAGTATCCATCTAACTGATGTTTGCACATAACTCATGTTCGGCTCATTTGCTAAATAATGAGCTGCACAAACACAATATTTGGTTCGCTTTGTTAATTTACTTAAGACAAACAATGCTTAATTCTTTTCTATTTGATTGGAGATCTATTATTAAATATTAATAATTTTTGTGAATTTTGGTGAAAATAATGCAAAGAATAAAGCATGGTGTAGTGGTTGTTTATGATGTTAAGTGTTGCCCTTATGTGGCGAGGTTTTAAGCATGATTCTTTCTTATCTTTCTTTTTTATTTAAAATAGTAAAATTACTCTTTTATTTGATATAATTATTTTTGTGTGCATATATTCACGAACAACTCAAACAATATCAAACTAAACACACATAAAGAAATATCAATTATTAATGAACACAACCCAAACATGAACAATAAAAAAATTGCGAAGCAAACTCAAACATAGCTCCATTTGTTTATGTGTGGCTCAATTACAGTTTTAGGTGCAATTCTACCCTTTATAATTTATGTTCAAATCTCTTTAGTATATTTTCTTTTATCTTAGGTGCTGCTCGTATCTTTCTAATATAATAACTTCTTATTCTAATTTTGTCACCCATATATCTTAAAATTCTCTTTTTAACCATTATCAACTTAGCAATCAATAAAAATTTCACTGCTCAACACCTAAATCCATCTAACATAACCAAACTAATTGTTATTTTATAAAATTTATTATTAATTTTCCATGATATTCTTTTATCACTTAATACTCCTTAGGTACCTCTATTCTTATACAACTTTTTTTATTTGTAAGATTTTTTGAGTTTTAAGTGGTGCGCAATATATTCACTTCATATAGTGAAATTTTTTATTCTAAAATGTTAGGAATGATGAGGCGATGTATCTTGATTGCCTTATTTTTAGACTCTAGAATTGTTTTTGGGTAAATTGAACTTAAATTTAATCCAAACCAATATAAAGTAGTCAACCATCATACTGACTAAAATTGATATAAGTCGATGTCACCTAGTCTATGGAGGAAAGTTGTTCTCGTTAGAGCCGATCAATTGGGTATTATAAAATCAATTGGATATTATAAATTGCAACTTTTGATTCAATAAAAAATTTAGACGGCAAGTTTCAAATTTAAGATTTCAATTTTCTTCCTTATTATTCCCCCCCACCCAATATAAAGTAGCCAACCATCATACTGACTAAAATTGATATAAGTCGATGTCACCTAGTCTAAGGAGGAAAGTTGTTCTCGTTAGAGCCGATCAATTGGGTATTATAAAATCAATTGGATATTATAAATTGCAGCTTTTGTTTCAATAAAAAATTAAGACGGCAAGTTTCAAATTTAAGATTTCAATTTTCTTCCTTATTATCCCCCCAACCAACCTGTCAGTCTCTCGTTTTCTCTATTTGCGAGTTGCAATTGGGAAGGACAGTGGCTCCCAACCCACCTCCACCTTGTTCTTTCTTTCTCTCTCTCTCATAAATTGAGATCCCCTATACAAGGCTTCTCATGCAATCAAATTCCATTTGGATAAAAATTGCAGCTACTTGGAGAGAATAATGGAAAAGGAAGGGAACTACCCACGGGTTGGTCCATAATTCCTTTCCAGCTTACATCTATAAGACTCTTGGTTATTTTGTTATGTGTGGAATCTGATTGTGTTGATCAATTTGGTTGTTATGTTGTTTTGAACCTCAATGCTTGTCGTGTTCGTTTTTTTTAGTACAACACCCAAGCGCTGCGTACCTGAGCGCCCCTCGACGCTGTGTCCCTGTGAGCCCCAGCCTTGAACAACAGAGAGCAGAGCACCACAACAGTATAGATACGATGCTGCAACGGTGCAAGACAGAGGTTTGAGCGCCGCAGCGCTGTGAGATGGAATGGATGATTTTCTTTCTCGTTTTTCTGAAGGGTTGCATCCCTTGGAGTTATGTTACTTGGTTTTCTCTTGTATTTTGAGTTTTTATACATTGAGAACGGTTTATGTGAGAAGAGTTGCAAGGAGTGAGTGAGAGAGAAGAGACACATGTACTTATCTCTCCCAATTTTCATAGTGAATTTCTTCGTGTGGTGTGGCTCTGTAGTTTTTCCCTATTTTAGATTTTTCCATGTTAAATCCTAGTGTCCTTGACTTTTCCGTTGCTTTTACTTTCTTGCTTGTTTCATCATTATTGTGTTTACTCCTCCTCATCTTCCCCAACATATTTGACCTATCTTTGATTGTTGGGCTCATTGGATTTTAGATCAAGTGTTTGTTTTTAGGATTACCATATTTCTTGGACTAGTTGGAGCAGGCTTTACTTACCCATGTCTTGCATTGGGGAAGTATATTAATACTTGATACTATTTAGCCTAGGTATGAGGGCTTATAAAATGGTCTTCCCACAACTAGCCAATGCACAACAAACAGGGTATTAAGTTTGCTACTATTATTGATTGGACTACTTTTTAATTCATTTATCTTATGTTGGAGCATACCCATTAAAGGAGAAAGTAGGCATCTAGATAGCATGCTGAAATCTCATAAGGCGAAGGCAAGAGGCGAGGCTGACACCTCTTTCAAATATCACACAAAATGATGACACAACCTAACTAAACTTCATAAAGTTTTTGGTTTTTTTGCATGGTATATAATATTGATTATTGAAAAGTAAAACATCGGTTCTAAATTCAAGAGCTGTATTATATGTAGCATAAAAGTGAATATCCAAATTTATAGTATGCAAATACAAGAACTCACAAACATACTTTGTACATTAGTAAATTTTTCATAGTTTTATTCTCAAGAATAAATATAATAGCACAAGTCCATAATTTCTAAGGTTATTATGGAAATAAATGGAAGATTTTATTAATTTAATTCACCGTTGATTCTAGACAACAAATAAATAGTTTCCTAAACATAAACGGTCATAAAGTTAAAACAATAAGACATGATCTGAATATTTGAATTCAATTTATAATTATATTTAATGATACACAAAGAAGGAAAGAGCAATGCCTTGAATCATTGAGCTGGGTGAGGGTACACAAAAGAAAAGAATAATTCCTTGGATCGATGACTTGGATGAAAGTATAAATAAAAGCTCTGCAGACGGATGCTTGTATGGATTCCAACGACCTTAATTTTGGTAGCAGATATCAAGCATACCCAACTTGGAGTTCAGACTTTCTAAGTTGCTGCGGTAAATGAACTTGGTGAGCATATTATCTATTTGAAGATTTGAAGGAGTGTAAACAAGTTGGAAAGTGTTTTCATCAATCATTTCGTTTATGAAATAACAATCAATCTCTATATACTCATTCCAAGTATTTCTTTGCAATTCTAGTGGTAGCTTTATTGTCATATAATAATTTAATTGGACTGTTTGATGGTCCTTTTAATTCTTGTAGCATTCAATCTGATCATATATTTTTAATAAATTTATTGTGAGATAGCCTTGAATTTTGCTTCAGCATTGTTTCGGACCACAACAATTTATTTCTTATTTCTCCATGTGGCTAATTTTTCTTATACATATGTGTAATATCCAATAGTTGATTTGCTTTAACTTATTGAACTTGCCCAATCTACATTAGCGAACACTTTCACACCTCTGTTGTGGGTTTCCTAAATATAGTCGTTTGCTAAGATTGTTTTTCAAATATTGAAGTATATAAAAAGCAACCCCAATATGTGTTTTTGCGGGATTACTTATGAATATGATGGACATGCTAACTGAGAAATAACTATTTTGTTTGGTAGATAAATTAATTTTCCCTCAAGTCTATGATATCTTCCTTCATAAGTCGGAGAACTTTTATCCTCAGTTACCATTTTAGCATTTGGGTTCATAGGGGGTGTCCATTGGCTTACATCTCATAATTCTAGATTATTAGAAGATCAATAACACGCTTCCGTTGTGATATAAAGATTCTGCTCTTGATTGGGTAATTTTCATGTCAAGTAAATATCAAGCTAT